GTTTAAATATGTAAGAAATTAAATCTATAATTGGGTCGCAATTTTCAAAAAAAGACCTATACTTTCTTACTGTCGTCAGTATGTCCTTTGTTAATCTCGAGAAAATCGAGACCACATACGAACAGCTTAATTATATACAAACTTCCGGTCTACACTGGAAGCACATGATATTTTCAAATTAAAAAAAATAATAATTAAAAATTTCAGTCCAGTATTGTGGCGATGTTACAATTTAAACATACGGAATGTTTTTATTGATGATTTGTGCTTAATTAAGAATAATAACTATTGGATCTATATGATAATCTCCTATTGGCTAAGAAAGATTTAAATAATCGTATCACAACAGTTCAAAGCTCTTATTATTACGTGTCGTTCATTCAACCAATCAATTGCAGGAATGTATGTCAATTTTAAAGTATCCTAACTAAGTAGAATTTCGCAACCAAAAAAAATATATTAAGAAAAATTTTACGCAGTTTTAAGGATAATATACGATTCTGTTACATCTAACCGTAATAAATCATTTAAAAAGTCCAAAAAAAGTTTTAAAAAATGGCTGCTACATTTGAACTACTCATCAAACGCTTTCCATAAATTAATAATACTGAATACTAATAAGTCATTTAAAATATTACAATTACATCGTAACTGATAATTACAACATAGTCCAAATATTTGTAATTACGTATAATAAGATTTCTGGCCTACAATAATGATAGAATACTAATGAGAATCATTAAAATTGCCATCATTTTGACTTCATTTATAGGATTACTCTCAATTTCCACATTCAATGTTCAATGATTTGCATCGATTGTAGCTATGAAATTGTACTGAACATTACTTTTGTATTATTATTATTATTAATATATACATCAACAAGCAGCAGTCAAATTTAAGTCGAGGATAGTATTAAAATTAAATTATATAGATGAAATAATTAACTAAAGCATTAATGACATGTTATATATACGTAGTGTACTATACAGTACATATAACTTTTTTTATATTCCTTTTAATTATTGGATTATTCATGAATACTTGTTCATCATGTTGTAAACGTATGTCGATTAAGTGATAGATGAACAGCATCGTTACGAGTCTCGAAAAAACTATGATTATTATATAATCAATAATTTTTTTCTACACTTGGGTTTAAATAATAAGATAATTTTACTTATAAATTATTATAATTAACTACAGTATCTTGATATAGTAATAAAACGAAGGAAAGAAAAGTTGGAATTTAAACCATATAAAAAGCCAAGTGTAATCCAAAAAGTTATAAATTATAATTCAAATACTCCACTATATATATAAAAGAAAACATATTTAGTATGGAATATAAAAAAAATTATAAATAGAACAAGTACAGTACAAAACAAAATGAAAATAAGTAGGCCTATATAAAAGAATTAGAAGAGAAGTTTAAGTTAAATGGTTACTCCAATAGAATAATACAAAAATGGGAAAGTAGTGGAATTAATAAACATCAACAGAACAAACCAAACAAAGATGTCAACATAAAATATGTAGCTTTCCCTTATATCTAAGAAATAAATAAAGATTTTAACAAAGTAAATATAAAACTGATTCCAACTTACGAAAAATTGCAAAAGAGGATACAAAAAAGTTTGAACAAGGTAATAAGATAAAAGATATAGGCCTATATATAGCACAACAAATGTAGTTTATTCCATACCATGCACTTGTGAAAACCCCCAAAAATTACAAAAGGGAAACAAAAAGGAAAGTAGGAGTAAGACTTAAAGAGCATGTCGCCGATTTAAAATATAGAAGAGTAAACTCAGTCTTTTACGATTATTGCACAATAAATAATCGTAATATTAACGAAGAAAAAGTAAGGATTTTACACAAAGAGAAAAATTGATACAATAGAAAATTTAAAAGAGAGTTTTGAAATTATTAAACCGGTGAAGGCTAAGTACTGTTCAGTGCACTATATGGAAATTTTGACTGTAAATATATGTATTTTTCAAAAAAGTGTGTATTAGTTAGTACCTCTTTACTAAATGTCTTAAAGAAAAAACCGACGGAAGAGTGAAGTATGCCCGAAAAGCGTATCGGTGTTTAAGATATTTCTGAATAAAGAGTGATGTTAAAGATGCCCAGTGTTTATCTATGCACTCAGTTGTGAAGTAAAGAATAATTAAAAGAAGACACGGTTTCGTAATAAGTCAATAAAGTTTAAAAATTATTATTATTACAAATTATATAAAACACAGAGTAAGGATCNAACAAAGTAAATATAAAACTGATTCCAACTTACGAAAAATTGCAAAAGAGGATACAAAAAAGTTTGAACAAGGTAATAAGATAAAAGATATAGGCCTATATATAGCACAACAAATGTAGTTCCGTACCATGCACTCGTGAAAACCCCCAAAAATTACATAAGGGAAACAAAAAGGAAAGTAGGAGTAAGACTTAAAAAAACATGTCGCCGATTTAAAATATAGAAGAGTAAACGCAGTCTTTTACGATCATTGCGCAATAAATAATTGCAATATTAACAAAGAAAAAGTAAGGATTTTGCACAAAGAAAAAAATTGGTACAATAGAAAATTTAAAAGAGAGTTTTGAAATTATTAAACCGGTGAAGGCTAAGTACTGTTCAGTGCACTATATGGAAATTTTGACTGTAAATATATGTATTTTTCAAAAAAGTGTGTATTAGTTAGTACCTCTTTACTAAATGTCTTAAAGAAAAAACCGACGGAAGAGTGAAGTATGCCCGAAAAGCGTATCGGTGTTTAAGATATTTCTGAATAAAGAGTGATGTTAAAGATGCCCAGTGTTTATCTATGCACTCAGTTGTGAAGTAAAGAATAATTAAAAGAAGACACGGTTTCGTAATAAGTCAATAAAGTTTAAAAATTATTATTATTACAAATTATATAAAACACAGAGTAAGGATCATCAAAGATTCTTGATCTTTTCTGCTTGTCGATACCCTTTCCAAAACTAGATTTAATTCGTTAGTTCCTTCATACATTTGTTTATAAATTATTCATATTTTTATAAAATTAAATAATAAATACAAAATTTAAAATTGTGAGTTTTCTTTAATAAAATTTAAAGATATGTCAATTATTATTATGTCTTAAAGAGTAAACCTGTCTCTCCACATGATCCCCAAATGATACTAAATTTGTCAATCCCCAAACATTGATTAGCTTTAAATTTAGTTGTAAGATCCCTCATAAAGATGTCAGTTATTATTAGTATATTTTAAAATATATGCTTTCAATCTCAAATTATCAGTGTCTTGACCCTGTACTGTACATAATACCTTTCCTGGAAACAACAGTCACGCCGGTCATCCATGTAACTCCGTTCTAGATAAAATTTTTGAATTGAAATAACGTGTATATCGGAAGTTCGTATATAGGTAATCAGGTCTTCTTTCTCCTAAGCTTTTCGTATCTGATCTCGACTTTCATCTGCTTAAGATCGTTCTTGAGATTAAGGAAGGACAGACAGTAGGAATTTCTAGTTATACAACTTCAAATTGTACCCAACAAAAAAAATTGTATATTTAAATTCTAAGTATTGAAAATCATTTAAATTTTCTTATATAAACATTTAAATTTGCATAAATTTTATATTAATCTATAAAAAAAAAACAATTAATTCTCCATTGTCCATGTTGCAAGTACAACAGCAAAGTCGAATTTATTTACAATAGAAAAATACCCGAATGTAAAGAAAAAACAGTATTTTTATCCTATTTTTTTTTAGATGTTTCCGTTTCTAAAGTTTTTCTCATTTTTTCCATTCAGAATCTTTTAGTACAGCAATATCATTAAACAGACGACTAGAGCACTTCTTCAAGGTGACAACTTATATCCAAGGCTTTGTCCAAGGTATATCCTAGGGCCTGAAGGCAATCGATTTGAAGTGAAGTAGCTAGATGAAGTGTATTTCATGAAGACTTACACTTGTCTTTCCTCAATATAAACGAAATGATGCCATATTCGACTCAATCGAAAATGTCAAGTACTTAATTTCCTACTCTATCAATTGAAATCCTACGAGGAATTTCAAAACGTTGAAATCAAATAGTTCATCCGAAATAATTAAATTTTAAACAATTTCTAAAAAAATAAAAAAAGAAGAGTAGAAAACAAAATGCATTTGAATATGTTTCCATCAATTTAAATTTATATACTTTTATAGTTTAATTAGTTAATTAATTAATTAATTAATTAAAATATATTTTTGTTAAATTATTTACTAATATTAAGTTAAGTAATATTTAATTATTGTAATTTTAAATTAATTTCTTTAACATTGCTTTAATGTCATTTTTATTAGTCAATTCATCAAATACAATTTAATTTAAATGAAAGTTTTGTTGTTTAATTGTTAATTTGATCATTTTTTCCTGGCCAAATTTTTATTTCAATGGGCCGAAGTTCACTGAAATACATGCTCTGTTACCGAAATAATGCGATTTTTGTTAATTGTAATAAGCTGAATTTTTTGGTTTGCAGATGATTTTATGCATTTGTTATTGTTCTATTTATGTTTCTTTACTTAAAAACAAAATAATTTTACTCAACTTTTCGTAATAATATTTAGAGTTTTACTAAAATTTCATTCTTTTTTTGATATATTCCAAGTTAATTTCGTGTTATTTTATGTTATATTTTAAGTTAAATTTTTCTTTTTGAGTTTGAATTTTTAGTTACTTTTACTTCATTGTAAGATGTTTTTTTTACAAATTTTTCTTACATTTCTTCGGTAATCTCACGTAATTGCTACTTGTAACATATGTTTTTATTTTCCTTCGGTATGAACACTGATTGTACGCAATTTTAAGCATGTTTTTATTTAGAATATCCTTCAATTATTTTGCCACATTAACCTTCGTAACAACCGCAATTATCTTTAATAGATGTAAACGGACTATTCAGTTGTGTGAATGCAACGTTTCGTTTCAAACGCCAGAATAGTTATCATTTAATGTATTCGTATATGTTGACAACCTTCATTGTTATCGTGTCCTGGATGTCGTTCTGGTTGGATGTTACTGCAGTACCTGGAAGAGTATCTCTGGGAGTAACGACTCTTCTTACCTTAACTACATCAGCAGGAAACATCCGAGAACGTCTACCTCCAGTTGCTTACGTAACAGCTATAGACGTATGGGTAGGATTCTGTTCATTCTTCGTCTTTACCGCTCTACTAGAGTTTCCACTCGCTAATTACATAAGTAGACGACCCATTCCTAACCCAAATTCTAAGAAACGATTATTCGTCGTTAAGGTTAGTTTTTTTTTTGGCATAATTTTTAAGTTAATTACTGCTTAAATTTCTTATTTATTAATTTATTTGTGTTTCCACTAGAAGCAGTTACAAGTCAAGGATGCAACCAGTGGAAACTTACATGTGGTTGCTTCGGAACATAAGGATAAAAGCGAGATTCCTACAGCTGTTGAAGAAGCACGTACTTTAGATCGTGCATGTCGTGTACTGTATCCATTACTGTTTATCGTTTTTAATAGTATTTACTGGCCATATTATATATCGGCAGCTAAACTAGACGAAAATAATACATGATTTCGTTAGCTGTACTTCGTAGGAACTCGTGTAGAGATTAGTCGAGTCGTGAAATAATTCTATTTTCAATAGATTTAGAATGAATATATTTATCTTTAGATGAATGTATCCTTTAATTTATTACTCAACATGATAGAAAATATGTTCATTCTGATATTCCATACACTTCTGTTGAAATATTTCAAAAATAAATTACATAAACCATAATTTTTGTCATTCAAGATACAGTTATATAAGTTATAAACCTTACTACAGTAGTAAAAATAATTATTTATAAGTGTAAATAAATTATTAAAAAAAATTGTTTAATGATATTATTTTACATATTATTTCCTGTATTGTTACACAATATAAAGATATAAAAAATAAACAATGTTTAATATTGAATATTTATCTTTTAAAATATCTGAATTTAACAAATGTTCCCCCTGCTCCTAATGACATTCCAAACAGAAGCATTCCCACGCTTAAAGCTGCCATTGTACCTTTTGAATGTCCGGTAAGCCTATCTTTAATTTTGGGACGTTCAGTGACTATTTTTTTCGTAGGGGTAGGCTTAATTGTTCTTGAAGTTGGAGTTAGAGTAGTAGAATGTCTTCCTTTGGTTGAACCAATAATGATTACGTCACCTGTAAGTGTATATTCTGTTGTTTCTGTTTCCTGTTTTGTCGGTTCTGTATTTATTGAAGTTACTGAAGTAGGGGGAGGAGGTTTCAGTTTTTCATATTGTCTAGTGAGACTATATNATACCGTTTTGTCTTATTATATCTAGAATCTATTTAAAAATCTATATTCTTGATTATATATTTGTTTTTTTTTTAAATTATAAATGATTAATTAATTAAATTTAATTAATTTTTTTACAATTCTACGTATTTAAGATAAATTATGTTCGTTTAAAAGTTTGTATCAATAATTTTAAGATGTCATCGAAATTTTTCTAAGATTTTTAAGATATAACGTTAGATAATTGGTTAACTTATAAGCTTGTTTACTGCTAATTGGTTAGAAATTGAACGTACGTATTAATAGGCGGAGTTAATAACAATACATAATAACTTCCTCGTCGTTTGCGAAAAACCGACCGATCGGAATTTGATTCGTATTTTCAAAATAAAATTTTATTGTTACGTATTTTCGATTTAACCAATCAACGGACGAAAAGCGTATTATAGTGTTTGTAGAAGACCAATAAAAAAAATTGCTATTTTAATCTTAAATCAATGCTAATTTACACTCTAAAACATGCATTAAATTATATTTTACTTCGTGTATATAAAATTATAACTTTAAATAAAATAAAAACAATAAAATACGCTCTTTCCGCGATATTTTCGCATGTTTAAATGAATTTTTTTTGTTTCCTTAAATACTTTGTAATAACTTACACTCTAAACACATCGTACACTTAGAAAACTTATGTTAAATCTAACGGCTCATTTAATTTAATAATTAAGCAACTTTCTTTTTATTAACTTAATCTTTAGATTATATCTTGAGAGAGGGGAGGAACACATTTTTTTTTTCTTTTTTGTTTAATTATTACTGTTACTGTGTTATTAAATTTAATCGACTCCTTCTTAACAATTATGAGCTAAGACATAATTTGTTTGTTCAGTGATGCAGATTAACTTACCGAGGGCCACCCTAGCTGACGTAGCTTCATGGTTAATCCAAAATGATACCCATGACAGCATGACGATCAAAATGGACGGTAGATAAGTCTGAAAGATGAAGTAGCCAATGTTTCTCTTCAATTCGAAACTCAGAGACAAGCGCTGGTAGGTACCTAGAAACAAGGGGGAAAATAAAAAGGGGAAAGGAAAGAAATAGAGAAAAAAGTCCATAAATTTATGATGCTTTCCTCCAAGTGAGATAGACATTCTCTAATGTTCTTTTTTATCAAGTTATCTTAGTTATGTTACAACCAAGTTTCTGATCGACAAAGTTTTTCTTATCTGATTTTGCCTTCTTAAATAATTAGTAATGCTATTACCACACTATTTCGAATTTAACATTTATTTTTTTAAATATATATATATATATATTATTTTTTTACTTATTCTTAATGGTTATTTTAATCTGATTTAAATTATTTATTTATATATAATTTTATAAAAATTTAAATATTGTAAAAAATTTATTTTCTTTAGTATCTTTTTGATGATTTGTTTATGGCTAATTAAATCGTAAATTATAGTATATTAATGCTTATTGATTTTCATTTTTATTCAGTAAATAAATTCATGGACTATAATTTAAAAAATAATGTTTCTTATCATTTATTTATTTGACAACTTTATGATAAAAATATATTTAAATTGATTACGGAGATTTTTAGATATCTAAATATACTTAAAATCTACGTAATCTTGGCATCTAAACATCTAAAAATATTTAAATTTTTTAAGTTTATACATGTATAATGGTAAAAATATAAGAAAAATTCAGTTTATTTACATGTAAAATTACTGTAAACAAATACCGTACATGTAGCTATCTAAAAATACTTAAAACATATAAAAATCTATGTTATAATGGCGTCCGAACATCTTAAAATACTATTATTATAACAGTTTACAACTGTATAATAAAATAATTACAACAAAAATTTGTTTCATACACATATAAGATAGTATATAATTTATTATAGCTAAAAATTAAAATATATTTTAAAATATTATAAATATTTAATTGAGTTTCATTTGTTTCTCATTAAAAAACTAAATGCCAAATTATAATAAATATAAATAAATAAATTATAGTAAAGTAGATAAAAATAAACAAAGAGTAAAACTCATATATAAGTAGTACGCTGCATTATTCTTAAGATAGAGGCACTGTAAATTTATTTTAACGCGAAATATATTACTTATCAATGATTGGTTGGAAATTTTTAAAATAGAATAAAAGATTATGGCTATATTTAGCTTGTTTATAAGAAACTTTTTTGAGTTTCTATATTCCTTATCAAAACCATGATTGATAGACTGATGATCTATAATTTGATGCATGATGATAAGTGTTTTCGGATGTCATACAGATGATAATTCTTATCGCTTTTATCTTATCAAGGAACATCATGTTTGAATTTACTAAACAATTGTACTGTACTGTATATATTAAGAACTCTCGATATATTATTTTACTGTTTAAGGAAGCGGTATATGGAGGGTTCCGCAACACGTGACTTTCAAATTCTCAAATTCAACCTTGTTACTATATGTAGTTTTCATTATTTGAGATACTTAAGTTTAGCGCTACACTGTTCAATATATATTGAACAGTTGCTTATAATATATTTATCCGAGCATATATATTGCCTATGTAAAATATCATACACTTAGAGCCTACTGTATGTTGTAGTTCAACATATATACATGTATAGTTGAACTTCGATTTAATGCCACCATTTTTTCTATAAATTTGACACTAAATCGAGTATGATACTAAACTGAAGTGGCTTAAACAACGTTGGCGCTATTTTAGGAGAATGCTAGATTGAAATTTGACTATTTCATGTTAAAAGCTATACTTTTAATAAAAACATTAATGAATAAATCTCTATAATTAATGTTTAAAAATGCATATTATTATTATTATTATTATTTTTAGTATTAAAAAATTTCATTTCTACTTGAATATTCTTCCCCAAAAATAAATTTTTCAACTTAAATTAACGGTATTTTAATAAATAAAGAATATATTAAACAGAACTTATTGACAATAATGTATTTAAATTTTCAGCTCTAAAAACTATTTAAAAAAATAAATTCAATAAAATAAAATAAAAAATAGCTCCAAGCGTCCGAGNAAATTTATTTTAACTCGAAATATATTACTTATCAATGATTGGTTGGAAATTTTTAAAATAGAATAAAAGATTATGGCTATATTTAGCTTGTTTATAAGAAACTTTTTTGAGTTTCTATATTCCTTATCAAAACCATGATTGATAGACTGATGATCTATAATTTGATGCATGATGATAAGTGTTTTCGGATGTCATACAGATGATAATTCTTATCGCTTTTATCTTATCAAGGAACATCATGTTTGAATTTACTAAACAATTGTACTGTACTGTATATATTAAGAACTCTCGATATATTATTTTACTGTTTAAGGAAGCGGTATATGGAGGGTTCCGCAACACGTGACTTTCAAATTCTCAAATTCAACCTTGTTACTATATGTAGTTTTCATTATTTGAGATACTTAAGTTTAGCGCTACACTGTTCAATATATATTGAACAGTTGCTTATAATATATTTATCCGAGCATATATATTGCCTATGTAAAATATCATACACTTAGAGCCTACTGTATGTTGTAGTTCAACATATATACATGTATAGTTGAACTTCGATTTAATGCCACCATTTTTTCTATAAATTTGACACTAAATCGAGTATGATACTAAACTGAAGTGGCTTAAACAACGTTGGCGCTATTTTAGGAGAATGCTAGATTGAAATTTGACTATTTCATGTTAAAAGCTATACTTTTAATAAAAACATTAATGAATAAATCTCTATAATTAATGTTTAAAAATGCATATTATTATTATTATTTTTATTTTTAGTATTAAAAAATTTCATTTCTACTTGAATATTCTTCCCCAAAAATAAATTTTTCAACTTAAATTAACGGTATTTTAATAAATAAAGAATATATTAAACAGAACTTATTGACAATAATGTATTTAAATTTTCAGCTCTAAAAACTATTTAAAAAAATAAATTCAATAAAATAAAATAAAAAATAGCTCCAAGCGTCCGAGTGAATAAAACCACTGGTCGTGGGTTCGCGCCTCATCAAAGGGCTTGCACGTAGAGTATCGTGGGTTCGAACCTCACAATTGACTGGCTACGTGAAGATCGCGGATTTGCGCCTCACAAACGGGCTGGTACGTGAAATTTTCCGGGTTTTCTTCACATCTGTAACACTTAACTAGGTCCTGCCAGGAG